GGTCACGTTGTGTTCAGGGTGGAGCCACAGCAGGGGTCAAAGGTCACTCCATGTTTCACTTTCTCTGCTCTTCTCGTGTTTTCCTCTGTGAAACGTCCTCGTTCTTTGAGGAACATCAAATGAATTATAAAGTCGTTAAGGGCCGTCAGTCCTGATGCTGCTTTTGGTCCAAGCTTGTAAATAATCTCCTCCTCAGTCTGTCGTCTCGCTCAGAGTATGACCCTCAGCTACTACCACTCCTAAAAACTGAATGAAAGTCTCTTCTTGTCTTGAAGCAGAAATCTTGTTCCAGCTTCTCGTTCACGTGAACTTTATCCTAACTTTGACCAGCAGACATTCAGCTTTACATTTAGACGCAACATTTAAAAAAATAACCAGAAGCCCCTCCCCTCCAGTTTATTATAATCTGATTTATTGTAATCTGAATTGTTGTAATCTGATTTGTTGTAATCTGATTTGTTGTAATCTGATTTGTTGTAATCTGATTTGTTGTAATCTGATTTGTTGTAATCTGATTTGTTGTAATCTGATTTAATGTAATCTGTAACCAGCCACTGACCCTGGTCCAGACCTGAACCAGATACTCAGAACCAGCCACTGACCCTGGTCCAGACCTGAACCAGATACCCAGATCCAGTCACTGACCCTGGTCCAGACCTGAACCAGATACCCAGATCCAGTCACTGACCCTGGTCCAGACCTGTCAGAACATTATAAACATAAACTGATAATAATGTGCACGAACAAAGATACAGTTTTTTGAGCCATGTGGACAAGACCAGGTCGTGTTTTTCAAGAAGTGTCTGCTCTGAACGTGGCTGCGCAGCTGGCTGGTCAGAATCTGGCTTCAGTTCCTCCTGCAGAGGTCAGAACATCTGCACCTGCTCCGTTTGAGCTTCATCCTGGAGGTGAAGCGGCTTCGAGACGTCGTGCTTGTAGACAACCACTCCGGCACCGTGCAGGATGCTAGAACCGGACTGGGTAACCCGGTTCTCATCTGAGAAGCTGTCTCAGTTGAAACTGAAAGGTCCAGAGCTCATTTTGTGAGCTGAGCCTGAACTAGGTCCACCTGAGATGTTCTGGTCTTGTGTGTGAAGCTGTCTGGGTCAGACCTGAGACCTCTTTTGTCCCATTCATCCTCTCTGTCCAAAACTGAGACATGTCTGTCCTAAAGAGTGTCTCTTGTCCTTCAGCTGTTGGTGGACAGCTGCGGCCTGTTCTGAGGTTCTGCCGGTCAGTCCATGTTTGTGTTTGGTGTCTTCCATCTACAGATCAGAACCTTCTCGCTCCTGTTGGAGATTTTCTGTCTCAGGATGTTTGGGTCGGGTTTCATCTGGAGGTTCTGACAGAACTCTCTCCATCTTTCTCGTCTCAGGTGGTGTCGGTGCTGCGACCCGAGGAGATGTTCGAGTGCGTGTTCACCTGCGGGGCGGACTGTCGGGGGACGTCCCTGTACCCCTGTCTGCAGGTCTTCGTCAACAACTCCGAGTCCAACTCGGTGGTTCTGCTGCACCACAACGAGCAACAGCTGGTCCTCAACCCGAAGGTAAACTCCTTCAGTCCTCTTCATCCCTGCTTCGTCACTGCTTCATTACTGCTTCGTCACTGCTTCATAACTGCTTAATCAACTGCTTCGTCACTGCTTCATCAACTGCTTTGTCACTGCTTCATAACTGTTTCATCAACTGCT